GATTGATGAGGTTGTGAATCTTCATCCGCTGAAGTGGCTTGGGCATGTATTGCGTGTGCTGAGTTACCGTCTACGTAGGTCTGCGATGCTACAGTAAACTGGGTTAGGTTGGAAGAGATTTCATAGTGGCCAGACCAAGATGTGGCGCCAGTCGATGAAGTCTATGACTATTGGTCTGCACTGATTGCCTGGTTGGGTTGGGCTCCCGAGATGAAAGGAATCGATGGCTGAAGACTCATGGTGACATGGCTAAAAATCGGTGGCTGTGGCTCAGGTTTTTACACTCCTTGAAATCTTCTAAAGCTTGAATATTTTCACTAACCATTGTCTTCAGAATGTTTATTTCTTACAAAACTTTGTCTACTTTAATATTGGTCTTTTTCCATTCACCTGTTCTTTGTTTATTGTTGTGAAGTGTGACAACTTGTATCGAGGCATTTGCCAGTCAGTCAATCAATCTTTCTAATGTTTAGTGAAACCTCCGTATTTTACACCAAAATATTTCAGTGCACCTGTGATACCGAGTAAAACTCCAGTGGAAGAGAAATTGAGTTGTTGTAGACAGTTGAAGTAGACGTCGATCGGTGTCATTGAAAGGAAGAAAGAATGAATGGAAATGTAAGTCTTATCAGTAGTATTCGGGATGAGATTTACTTGAAACAATAGAGAAAATTACTTTACGAAAAACTACTACATATACATTATGTTCACTATAGCCATCTGAGATAGCCTCAGTTTGACAGACATGTAATAATAATAATAATAACGTTAGTTAGATGGAGGTATTCCACAGGAAGTCCTACTTAACTTAGCTTTCTTGCCTTTTGGTACTCGTCAGCAACGCGTTCCAGCAAACTCACCCGACTGAATCCATGTTACCTAGTGTTACAGTGACAGACGTTACCATTGAGCCATTCATGTGATGGATAAAGGTGGAATGAAAATCTGGAACATGTCAGGATTCGAAACATCCACCTCCAGGCATGTGATTGTTGTTTCTGATGTATTCAGTCCTTGATTGAAAAAGTATCCAAAGTAGCTCAATCCAACCATAAATATTTATTTCGTTGAAGGGCAGTTCATTAGAAAGTTGACAAGTTTACTGTAGAAGATTTTTTGATTGTGTTCACCATCAGCCAACTTCCCCCAAAAGCGAACCCAACTACAACTCTAAGTATAGTCAGTTAATTAGGAGTATGCGAACTGATAGACAGACGTAGAAATTGACATAAGTGGTAAGTTATTGTTAACAGACGTTGACTGAAGAACATAGTTGAATATATACAAGTTTAGAAATTCATTCAATAAAATAAGCAGCTTAAACAATCAATTATCAAGTTCTCTTTCTTTTTTCTAACTTTTTTTAAAAAAAAAATGGCAACAACAGATTTCTTTGAATTCAGATAATAAGAATCAACAAATTAAACCGAAAAATCCCTTATCAACCAATATAAATAATAACATATGGAATGAAAGTCATTCACTACCATCGTTAAGCACATTTCCAATTCCTGGGATTAACCTATCCAGTAATAGTAAAACTTCATCGACTAATACACAATCTCTTATCAATAGAAATGTAAACACTACAGATAATGTCACAGTAATAACAATAACAAGTGCAACAACTTTGACATCGGTATCAACAACAATCACTACTTCTGCTATCACTACTACTACTACTACTACTGCTCAACTTGCCAATAGTAGTAGTACAATTAGGCAAGATTTAATCTCATTCAATGATTGGCCAAATGTTACAAGGCTTTTATCCAATCAAGTGAGTGAATTGTGTCATTTATTTTTGATTGGATAAAATAAATGTTGGAAGAGAAAAAAGTGACAAAGCTTATTTTCATGATTATACTAATTTCTACTATTCAACTTTAAAGATAACATTGCCATCTGTTACGCTTTCTTCTCTACATGTGTCTGTGTGTGTGTGTGAATGTATATTTTGTTTGCCTTTTATATTGAGAAAATATAAAAATAAGACAATGAGGACAAGATTAACTAATCGATTGATATATATATTGGGAACCTGACATGGTTAACCAGTTCACTAGTTACTAACCCATCATAAGCCCAGATAAACAGGAAGGCTAGAAATACGGCTAGCAACCCTACCCCACAAAACAAATCCAACCACTAAACAAACTTCAAAGCACAAACAAAATATAAAAAATAAAAACAAAATTATTCCTCTCTGCAATCGGAGAGGCGAAATGACTGATGCATCTTCTCTCCCTCGACGAAAGCGAAAGTAAATGTGAGGACATGGAATATCCTCACCATGTTTGAAGCTGGTTGGTAAGACTAACCAGATTGCCAAAGAGATGAGAAGGTGTCGCATTGAAGTACTAGGAATCTGCGGGGAGTCAGCAGATGGAATGGGAGTGGACTGTCCAAACTGTCAACTGGAGAGGAGTCAGTAGTCTACTCCGGTCACTCAGACGACAAATAATGATAATAATAAATATATTTTGGGTAGAGAAAAATCTAGGTCATGACGGGATTCGAACCAGCAGCCTTCAGATAACAGGCTTGGTACTTTATCAACTGAGATACAATGCTTATCTATTGGTCAGATTTTAATTATCCTTCAACATAGATTGAAAATTTAAGGGTAAAACTTGTACACACTGTGGTCGATTGTAATTCCATTTTAGTCATTTACTAGATAACGTTTCGGACACAATTTATTGTCCATATTCAGATCAGGAAACTCCACAACTTCGAGACAGTTTTTATCTGATCCTAATTTTCTCTTCTTCTGTGTGATGATAAGGGTAGTAGAATTTTCCATATATCTAGGACAGGTGTACAATCATTCCTGTCACTGAATGTATTCGGTGTTGATTCGATAACCAGAGACTCAGCTTTCAATCTCTCCCTCTACCCAACTAAGTTAGTTTTCATACTGTCACCCTATCCCACCCTAATATGTGATTATGTCATCGCATGCAGACCTATAGCCGAGCTTTTCTCCAGATCTTATCTTATCTTATCTTATTACGATCTACTAATCTTCATTTAGCTACGTTTTTGTGCTCTGTTATTCTAATCGACCCTGGCTAGTCGACTGCTTTGACCTATGTACTTAACCTCGCAATCATTGCAAGTGATCTGGTAAACGAGATTATTTTGGTGGATTGCATCGACAGGATCTTTTAACCTACAAAGCTTGTTTCTAAGCGAGTTTGTTGGTTTAAATGCCACCTTATTCTCAGCCTTATTGAAAATTCTTCGTTATCCAGTCAATGACACTGTATCTTCGCTATGTGATATTTGTAATAAACAGACTGAGATAGATTGAAAATGAAATGAAATTGTTTTTACACATTTGTAAAATACCAGATGGGTTTTTTTAAACTGCTCTCCATACTATTGAAATCCATGTAACTTTTAATAGAGAATACAAAAAGTTCACTAACTAATTAGCTTTTATAACCAGAATGGGGATTCGAACCTAGCACTTAATGTTTATATATCAAGTGTTATTAGCTACATTTCGGCCTTAATGCTTTGAAGTGAATTCTAAAAATAAATAAATTTTAGTGTTATTACTTGTATTCTAGCGTCGTTGATTGGACCGAATTGATCGGTCTCTGTTGGCATATGGGCTCCTGCACGGATGCCTCGTTACTGTCTGTGTTTTTAAATATATGGTAATGATGGATAGTGGCTAGCAGTGGAATCCGGGATGCTCTTTTTCTCCTATTCGGGATTCGTTAGCTGGATGTAGCTATCTCCTAGTGAGTGATGTTGTTCCCACGGGGATTCAAGAGACCGATCAACTTGGTCCAATCAACGACAGTATAATACAAGCAATAGCACTAAAACTATACCTGTTGCACAAAAAGTGGCTATCGTGACTGTTGGTGTGGTGGATAACGTTCTGGCGTTTGGAGCGATCACTGCCAGGCTCGAATCCTGGTGGGAGCAGGTGCATCTAGCTGACTAGTCCCAAATAGGAGGGAACGCGCATCCTGGATTCCACTGCCAGCCACTATCCATCATTACTATAAACTTAGTTTTATTAACATAGTGTTGCCCTAGCTACGGGAATCTATGATAGATCTCACGTCCTCCTTATGAACCAAAAGTCACTCACGTCGACTAATGTGATAGTATGAATGAGATTCAGAGTTAATCATAAAGGAATTGTAGAGTAGAGCATCTGAGATAACTGTGGTTTGATAGACTGATGTGACTGAATGGGGGATGATCTCTAGAGGCTATGTGAACCAGTGATCTCCGGAAAATCAACCCAGAGTATGCCACTCCACTACTTTTGACTAGATTTTAACTTGACTTCATTTGTAATCACTCCCTATCACCTAAAACGGAGGTGATAACTTATCGGTAGCAATGGCTGGAACGGACAACTTACAGGCTGTTAGTTTGAGATCGTCTCACAATGTATACTTTCCCCCGGTACATCAATCAATCAATATTCTAGTTTATTTACTTATCGTATATGCAAAGGAATTCTCTGAAGGTAGAACATGAGCATAACTAAGCTGTTGACAAACTAAAGGCATCGGAAAATGACTCTTTAATTAAAAAACTCATAAAGTAATCATTAGTAGGAATCCCTAACTGTTTGTTAGAAAAATTTATAAAATATGAATTAGAAGTATTATGTAGTTTTCAGTCCTTCAAGTTTATATTAGCAATTAGAAAATCACAATCTATCACATGGAGACTGCATACATTGTACTCAACAGACTAGTAAAGAAATTACTGGCGTTTGAGGCAGTAAGCTCATGGTTTGAGTCCTGGTGAGAACAAGTCCACTCACTGGGAGGTAGGTGCGCGCAGCTGATGAGCCCGAAATAGGACGAAACTTGTGTCATAGAGTTCACTGTATAGAAGTTTTTTATTGATCTTCATTTTAATTATAAAGTAACTAGTTTAGTGTATAATCATAGTCATTAAAAAGGTTATTACTTGACACCTTATAACGATTTTGATATTCTTTTTTTATTTCTTCTTAGAATTCCCCAAATCAGCCATCAACCACAACAACTCAAATTGCATCAGTAGAACCAATAAATGAACAAGTTTTTAGTCTAATAAATCGTCATCCAATTCCGCATACACCATTTACTCCACCTAGTTCAATTCCAAATCTACAACATCCTTTGAACAATGTTAATAATAGTAACAATAATAATGATGATAATAATAATAGGAATATTATATCAAGTCGATTAACGCATACAACAATAGGAACAGGAATAGGATTACCAAATGTAACAATGAATTCTTGTAATTTTACTAATACTATGCTAATTGATTCTACTTGTATACCACAAATGGCCTTATTTGATAGAGATATTAATGGATTTACTCGATTAATGAATACAACTATGTCAAACACTGCTAATACTACTGCTATTAATAGTAGTACTAGTAGTAATGCGTTCAACAATCTGACAAGCAATATGAAGTAAGTTATAACTTTGTCAAATGAGATTAATACATGTTCTGTGTATTGTAAATTGTGAATAAGCCTAGACATATCTATCCAAAGTCCTTGTTCATGAGATAAGATATCTCTGAGTGTCCTGTTCAACACTTCAAGATGAGAACCTTTGTCAAACGAACTATTGAATTTCAACCTTATGACTGAGTGATAGAGTGATCACTATAGAACATGATATTCTCAATAAGGATGGTAAGAACACACTTCTGAGGAGTCCTACACTTGAATGAAACAGCTGTTCAGAGTTCTTAGGTTTTCAGCGGTTCCTCAACTGATGTTATCTAGTGATTAACTCCACCTGGAAACTGATCAATCTCCAAGACCCTACATACCAAAAGATTTCGATATAAAACCTTACACAAAAGTGAATGCTTTCAAGTCACTAAATCTTATGGCAGTATACAAAGAGGTAGTGGATCGAAAAAAACCATGATACAGTAAAACTGACTAACAGAATCGATAACAACCTTTTTATCTTTAGAATAACTGCTTCTTTGTTGAATACTTTTCCAAGGAAGATTTATTCTTTCAACTGTTTTTTCCTTGTCAGAGCATTATTAATAACACTTGTGAAATGATAGTGTCTTACAAGTTAGTATGATTACTCAATCGTCTATGAAAATGTTGAACAACACAGTGTAGTTTATGAATTACATCAGAGATATTAACCTGAATGTCGAATAAAACGTCTACTTCTTGGAATTCCTTCTCCTCTGATAACCTTCTACCACTTTTGTTTACTTTATTCACCTGTTTCATTATCTTCTGTCTTACTGATATGAGACGTAACAACTGGAACCGTTATGCATTATTCTCAGTACCTTTCTTTGATACTAATTGACTGACTTCATTCAATAATTTTTTTTAACATAAAGTTTTAGGTGGTTAATCATGGAAGGAGGCATATTCAACAGAAAAAGTCTCTTTTACACTGTCTTGTCAGATTAGTTGTCCTGTTTAGGTTAATTTACAGTATGAAGGATTGACTACCGCTTGAGTCATTAACCAAAAATGAAATTATCAACAGAAGAGACCCAAATATCTTTTATTTAACATTATTATTATTTGTCCCTCGGGCTCCTAGTGGAACACAGGCCTTCAGTAGCACGTCTCCATTCCACTCTCTTCTCTGAAATCTTTTGAACCTGGTTCAATGACAGCCTACAAGCTGTTATTTCTCCCTCTCATGATCTTCTTCATATCACCCCCATCTTGGACTCCCAACTCGTCGCTTCCCCTGGGGGGTTCCACTCGAGTGCCTGGTCTGATGCATGATGTCCCAGAATGGTCATCTCAGTGCATGCTCAATCCATCTCCACTTTCTTCGTCCGCATATTTATTGGGCGATAGCTTCTTGGTTGGTTCGTTGCAAGAGTGAGTCCCTTATTGCATATTCTTATTATTCTGACCATCTGAGCTTCAGTGTCGAGTAAGCGTAGGTCGTAGTTGTTGATGACCATCTGCAGTTTGTTGGAAATGCCTTTCGTAAAGCACCAAGTCTCTGAACCATCATACAGAAGCACTGACTTGATGGACTTAGTGTTGAAAATCCGGATCTTGTACGCGCTTTATGCTGAGTGGAAAAGATCTCCACACTGATTTTAGGTTAATGAACGCCTGTCTTGCTGTGTTTTAGATGCTGCCTGGCTTTGATGTCCTCGTCTGTGCCAGGGCCACCTGTTTATCTTCTGCTTCGCCATCCTCCTCTCCTCTATCAGCTCCCATGTATCCATTGAGATCCATTCCTTATCTTCTTTCTTCTTCCTTCCTAGTATGGCTGTGCAGGTTTCTCTCCACATCTCTTTCAAAGACTTTCAGTGTTCTTCCACACAGGTTTCTTCAGGGATGTTTCTCGATATCTCCCATTTTGTCTTGATGGCTGACGTGAAGATTTACTTTGTAGTTTCATCCTTCAGTTTCTTTTCTGGGTGTTGTACTTGAACTGCGGTCTGTCACCAACTTCCTTGAAGACTTTCAACTTGATTTCGAAGTTAGGTTCCTTGCACTAGACAGTGAGTGGTGTGAACCTACATCTGCTCCTCTTCTTGACCTAGTGTCAAATAGGCTGCGTCTCCACCTTCTTGAGATTGAGATGAAGACGATCTGATTTTTAGTGTGTCTGGTGTCTGGTGAAATCCATGTCACTCGCTTTATGGATATCCTTGTGCTTGAACACACTGCCTGACTCCAATCACCAAATCGTTGAATGCACAGAATTCTGCAAACAATACTCCATCCTCATTCATCACCTCACCGAGCGCTTCTCGGCCCATGGATTGTTCTCTTCCTGTGTTTTCCGCTCCCAGTTTGACATTCATGTCACCCATTAGAATGGATTTTGATGTTATCAACTGGAGTGGGTTGTCCAGTGTTGATTGAAGTTGTTTGTAGAATTCCTGCTTCTTCTCTTGACCTGCATTATTTGTAGGTGCGTAGCGTAGCAGTGTACTATTGTGACCTTCCTTCCTTCCTTTTGAGTTGAACCTTGCTGTTATGATGCTGGAGGAGGAGATTGGTTCCCACTGTATGAGAGTGAGCCTTCGATGCTGTTGTGGACATCATGATAGCCACTCGAAAACTCAGTGTGCTCGTGGTTGTCTTCTGGGTGACGATATTGGAGTAGATTATTGATTCTCCAGTTGACAGTTTAGAGGGTCCACTCCCATTCCATCTGCTGATTCCCCACAGATTCCTAGTACTTCAATGCAACACCTTCTCATCTCTTTGGCAATCTGGTAGTCTTACTAACCAGCTTCAAACATGGTGCGGACATTCCATGTCCCCACATTTACTTTCGCTTTTATGGAGGGAGAGAAGACACATCTGCCAATTGGCTTCCCGAAGGCAGACTTTCACCAACTGGCGTCATTTCGCCCCTCCGATTGCAGAGAGGAATAATTTTGTTATTATTTTTTATATTTTGTTTGTGCTTTGAAGTTTGTTTAGTGGTTGAATTTGTTTTGTGGGGTAGGTTTGCTCACCGTATTTCTAACCTTCCCTGTTTATCTGGGCTTATGACGGGTTAGTAACTGGTGAACTAGTTAACATTGACATTGTATAGAGTTAATGTAGTTTTTGCATGCACAATCAAAAGGTTACTAGCTGTTTTTTTACCAAGAGAATGTTTCATGTTCTTTTTCAGTCATATTTTTCTAAGCCCATTTGCCAACCTAGATCCAGCAGTTTGACCAAGTATAGCAACGAAAGGTTACGAGTATCAAACAAGAATTGATATCCTTTTCATAAGAAGTGGCTTTCATACCACAGTGGTATCTGAAGCGGTGGGTACTGAGTTCGAGTCTCATTGGGTCAACATCGCTTAGCTGATTAGTCCCAAATAGGACGAAACGTGTGTCTTGTATTCTACTGTTAGCCAGGTAGCAAGTTGCATCATGGCTTGGTTTTTATTTAGCATTTACTGCAATGAAATCTATGACAAGCATTTTAAAAATTATTTCGTCTAGAATACACGGACATTTTAGCATGTAGGTTTTTGCATAGGGATAAGAGCTCAACCCTCATTGATTTCAGAGTCAGAAATTTACTTACCAAAACATGCAGATGTGGCAGAGTTTCTTTTTTTGTAACGATTCAGCTTTATTACATTGTTTTTTCATCGATGTTAGTTGATTTATATCGATTGCATAATCGGTGACTTTCAATAATTAGCAACTGTGTCCCTAAGGCATGTTTAAGTTTTAACTGATGAGGGGTGATTCCAAGTCTAAGTGGAAAAAGAAAGAAACTCACCGACCATACGCATGTTCGCGCAATAAACAATGAGTTACATCTATTGTTTTAGGGCAGGACCAGACGGATTAACTTCGGAGGTATACAAGGATAATGGTAGAGTGCTCTTAGTCAGGTTAACGAAACTGTTAACTAGTATATGGGAGTCAAATACGATCCCCCCTGACTGGTTTAAATCACTATTTATTCCAATCTTCAAGAAAGGCAAGAAGTCCTCTTGTGATACCCACAAAGAAACCAACCTGACGAACATAGTTTTCAGAGTTCTAGGTTCTATAGTTCTTTGATGCCTCAGTGGAGTTCGGGAACAACAAGCCCGAGAAAATCGGGCGGGCTTTAGACCCGGCCGCAGGTATATCGACAAAATATTCACACTGTGCCAGGTTCCGGGACACAGACACGCTTACTGATGCCCAACAATAGCTGTATTTCTCGACCTGAAGGAGGCGGCATTCGACTCCGTTTATCGAGAAGTCTTATGGCAATATCTCTCACTGAAAGGCCTGCCGAGCAAGTACATCACCTTCTTGAAGGCTCTCTACTCGAACATTTGTGAGCGTGTTAAAGCCTACAGTGAGATATCAAGGGAGCTGTGCTCAGCGAGCGGTGTCCGTCGAGCGTGTGCGTTGTCTCAGTTCTTATTCAGTTTTATCATAGATACTCTCATGGAGGTCTCCCTCTCGTCACCTGACTACACAGAGGTGACCTAATCACAGGAGAATTTTCGTTAGACCTAGAATACGCAGATGACTAGTTCCATTAAATGAAGATGTTGACAAGATGTAGAGTCTTCTGAACACTTTGAGTGGCAATTTGAGAATGTTTGGGATGCGTTTTTCACCACTCAAATACAAATTTTTGCTCCGGGATTGGTCTTCAATGGTGCCCCACTGCGGCTAACAATAGAGAAAGTAGTAATTTAGTGTGTCGACCGCTTCACTTACCCGGGAAGTGAAATCAACCATGGTGGCTTAATGGCCAATGAGATCTCTGCACGGATACAAAAGGCTCGATTGGCTTTCGCCAACTTACGCCACCTGTGACGCCACCGTGATTGTCTATAAAGCGTCGTGTGTACTACACCTGCACAGCAGTCCGGTCTGTTCTACCCCATGGCTGTGAAACATGCCCATTGAAAGTGGAAGATATGAGAAGGCTGGCTTCAAGTGTTTGACCACCACTGCCTTCGTAGTATACACCTTATTACGTGGTGT